TCAGATTCAAATCCCTTGAACATGATATTTTTCTCGCCTTCAAATTTATCAAAGATGTCATTCTTCATTTCTTCTAAATCTTTGGCTCGATCCCTTTCTCTTTGCATTTCATTCATGATCTCGCGATGTTCAGCCTTGTGTTTTATAATTCGCTCTCTTCTGTCGACCTCAAAATCTTCCATTTTTTGCTTTCCTTTTTCAAGGCTTTTGAGTAGACGGCTATTCTTTCCTTTCAGATCTTCAACTCGTCTTTTCTCAATGTTCAAATCTCGGGTCTTCTGTACCGTTGATTGGCTGGATCCTGATGCTTTCCGGGATTTATATAACTCCTGGTAATTTTTCTGTAATGCTCTGAATTCATCATCAACTTTTTCTTTATCTTTTCTCAACATTGCACATTGTGATGAATGAAAGTCAATGTCAACCCCCAACATAGCTTTATCTTGTCTCATTTGCTCTAATTCTTTCGACCAGCCTTCTCTTTCTGTTTCAAACTCAGCTCTCAAGATTTCAATCTCTGACGGAACCACCTTAATGCGATCTTCCATAGAGATATCCTCATTTTGATCTGGTAAAGGAATATTCTCGTTTTTCCTGACAGATCTCCATTCTTCATAATCAGGAGTTAACATTTCTTTTGCTGCTTTAGCTCGGATGCAAAAAGTTGTTTTCCAAGCTATAACGGCTTCCATGAATTTTTTATAATTTTTGCTGTGGAATGCGAACTCAGATGAATGTAATCCAGCAGTGACAGGTACAAATTGACGACCTTCATACTGTCTTATAACCAGAAGTGGTGCATATCCAATTCCTCCCTATAATCCGAACAGCATTATCCAGTTGTAATCACCACATCTGTAAATGAATTCCCTTTGTATTTGCCACGGGGCTCGCCAAACAATGTCATTGCTTTGCAGATTTCGAAAGGCATTAATCCACATATCTTTCTTAATTTCTTTCGGCCATTCCTGCTCCAGAAATTCTTTTAATGGTGAGTAATCCGTATTAAAGCGTCGGTATGAAACTTTTTCTGTCCTCCAGAAATGACTACGGATCCAAACATATAACAACTGGGTACACCCTGAGAATCGTCCACCTCCTAACTTTCTACAAGCATTTAACGATCTGAAGGTCTCTGCTAGAATTGCAGAAATAGGATTAATCTTTTTCGGTAGCTGTTCAAACAAATCTACCACTGCAGCTTCAACATATCCCAATACTTTTGGGAAAATGACCATACCATACATACCCAGAGCAAATAAATCGAATCGTACTTTAATATCTGGATGACTCTGAATAAGTTCTTTAATGTTGGTCCAAGCAATACCTTCGCTTTCGCCTTTTTGTTTTGTACGGGATACCACCCATTCTTCTCGTACACCGGCAATCTTTGCTAATTTAACTCGAAAAGGTTGAGTTTTAATTGACTTTGAATAAATTCGATTCTCCAAAGCCCCTTTAATATGTAGCAAAGTTGTGTATTCTTCAATAGTAGGGACCAAATCTTCTTTATTGAAAGTGAAGCAATTGTACCCTGGATTCCAGAATTGAATTAGGGCTCTAAGTAATTCATCATCAACTTCGACATAGAGCAAATATGGGATGTCTCCGTAAATCTGATAAAACTGCAATTTTTTGTTTGAATCCCAACTTTCCCAAATGCTTCGCAAATCTTGCATATCATTTCTTTTTAGTGAAACTGGAGCATAACTGGCCAAGTCATATACATAATCATCCTGCAGACTGTCTCCTTCTTGTCTTTGTAAGTCCTCAGCCCACTGTCTTACTTCTGAGTTTAGAATTACTTGATTTGAACACTTTTTATCCATAGATGAAGGCTTTCCAATGAGACAATTAACACAAGGATCAATGTCTTTTATCCTGTATGATGCAATGCAAACAAAAAAAATAAAGAACACACAAAAAGAAAACCTGCTTTCTAAATTTAAATAATTTAAATAAACATGTATTTAAATAAATAATTAACAGGAAAGTCAGAATTCATTTCTCCTGGTGTACACCTATTTTGACAAAATTTCTGACTTCTGGAAGAGTTTCTAAGGTTCTTTTATATGCAGGGTTTCAGATCTAAGAATCAAGGTACCCGAATTGTCCTTGTTAGTGCCCCCTTGGGTTACTAACCCTCAATCCTAGTCCATCACAGACTAAAGTGGATCGAGTTCAATTCGAGGGGATACATTTCTCTATGCCTGACACGGAGAATAAATTCTCACGAAGACAGAGAGCATATGAACCCCGGAAGTTACTTGCTAGGTCTGACACGGAGAATAAATTCTCACGAAGACGTCGCTTTCACTCCCACTTAAAAGGGACAACTCAATTATAGAGCTTTATGTTATGCAATGCAAGTGTTGTGTGTGAGGAGAAATGTTCAAACCTCTAATAGACAAATAATGAAATAAAATACTTGAAAAATAAAATGAAACATTAATAAATATACATATAAATAATATGAAAATAATAAGTATATATACAAATTTTGAAAAGAAAGAATTAAAAATTAAATATATAAATTTTAATTTTTAATTAATAGAGACAATTTATAATTGATTTTAAAGTTTGACAATCCCCAGCAGAGTCGCCAAGCTGTCGTAACCGGTTTTCGTCCGGACACGAATTTTTATTTGGCGGGGAAATTGATGTGAATAAATAATTTTGAAAATAATTTATGAGTCGCCATCGACTTTTTTTTTTTGATCAGGTAAGTCGAATACCTAAAAATTATTTTTTTAAAAGAGTTTTAAGAAAACAACAATTAAAAAAAATGAACTGATCTGCGTTTTATAACCAAAAATTCGTTTTTTTTAATAATAAAAAGGATTCGTGGTCGGTTACGTTTAGGGAAGGATTAGCACCCCTACAACGCCCAAAATTGGTACTTTTTAATTATAAATTGTCTCTATTTATTAAAATTTAAAAATTCAAAAATATATTTAATTTATAATCCTATTATTTCAAAATTATATAAAAATATTTATTTATTTAAAAATATCAGAAAAGAACTTCTAGGTGCTTTAAGACAGCTCTTTTCTTTGATATTGATCAATATTAATTTAAATAATATTGTTTAATTTTAAAATATCTGAATAGGACATCCATTTGTATTAAGACTGTCATGTTCTTTGATATTGAAAACTAAATATTAAAATAATTTATTTAAAATAAATATTTATTTATTATATACTTATAACAACATTTAAATATATAAACAAGTAAAAGAATACAATTCTAAATATATATTTAAAAGCAATAAAAAATACTTAAAATAAATGACTAAATATAGTGAAATTAAAATTGACAAACCTAATTCATAATTAATCAGAATTACAGGGATTAATCAAGCTATTTTCTTATTTAATAATTTAGTGACTAAAATAAAATTATCTAAAATTCGGATATTATAATAAAATAAATTAAAAATATAAACTAGGGATTAAAATATTATTTATCAAAATTAAGGGATTAAATCTGTTATTTATCCTAAATATATTATTTTAATATGAAGGACTAAAATAAAAGAAATTAAAATTAAAGATCTGAATTAAAAGTATTATAAAATCGATTTAGTGACTAGAATGTAAAAATTACAAATTAGAATGGCTTCGGACGGGGTTTACCCTTTGTGAAATTACAGAAATACCCTCCCCGAAACGACGTCGTTTGGGAGAGGGTATTTATAACCCAAACCGGCTGGCCCTACGGGCCAGCTTCTCATTTCATTTTCTCTGTTCTCTCTCTAACAGAGAGAACAAAAATGTTCTCTGCCTTCTCTCTAGCTTCCCTCACCGGAGGGAAGCCGGTCACCGGACAGCAACCGTCTGCCGCCGTGACCGTCACCGCCGGCCACCGCATCTGGTGGCCGGAAAATTTTATTTTTCCACCATTAAATAGATCGGACCGTCCTAAGGACGGTCCAGGTGTTCTTTTCCCTTAAAAAGCTCCTAATCGGAGCGAATCTACAAAAGTACCTTCGGTGTTTCGAAGGTTCCGGTGAGATCCGGTGGTCGGGGCTTCCTCGGTAAGTTTCTTTTCTTCCTTTTTCTTTCTTTTCTGTTTCTTTGCTGCTGAGATTGTTGAGATCGTTGGTATATATTTTTTTTTGTATCTTGTTTCTTTTTATCTCTCTCTGTGTTCTGTCCTTCCTTTCTTTTTTTTTTCAGGTTCGGGTGGTGGCTTTTATAGCCACCACCGGTGTGGCCATCGGACCGGTCCGAAGAGGGAGTCTCGGTGAGTCACCGGACTACCAGTGGTGACTCACCCCGTAGCCATGGCGTGGACGGCTGGTGTTGGAGCTTCTGGAGCCTTCGGTTGGGACGTGGCAGCGGCGGAGGCGGCGAGAACAGCAACGGCGGCCGCGTGGCCCTATGGTATCAGACCCTAGGGTTTCCATCTGGAGCCATCTGGACCGTTGGATCTTGCCAGATCCAACGGCAGCAAGCTGAGGCGGCTGGGATTAGGGTTATGAAACCCTAACTGAAACCCTCAAATGTTTAGGGTTTCTGGTTTGTTCTGGACCGGTTCTGGTTTGTTTGTAACTGGGCCGGTCCAGTTGTAATTGGGCCTGTAATTATTTTTTTTAATAATATTATATATGTATTTAATATATTTAATAATAATAATAATATAATTATAATAATAATAATAATAAGAATAATAATAATAATAATAATAATAATAATAATAATAATGATATGGGTAAAAAATTAGTATCTTCAGTAGGGATGTTGCACGGCGCAAATATTGGTCAGAAGGAACAATTTCATCCATTTCATTCGGAGATGCAGGGTCTTTTCTGTCACGAGTTTTGCCATAGAGTGGTGCGGAATTATATCTCGTAAGAGGCTTTAAGAGAATAACTTCATCTTCTGTGGCAACGGATTTCCCATCTGCAAGAGGGCTGCTTCGGTTTTCACTTGCAATCTGTATCTCGCATTCTTTTCTGGCTTCATATACATGCTGATGCAGCCCTTTGAGATCGACATCTTTCGAGTACAATTTCAGTCGCAAACTATTATCGGTGATCCATTTATAGGAACCATTTGATCTGCTTGCAATCTTCATCGCAGCATTGTCTATACGCTTCATACAGCATTCAATCCCACTTTCGTAACTGTCTACCTGATCCCGTTGGTGAGAAATCTAATGAAACATGTAGTTGAGCTAATGGTGCAAATCCCCTCAACTTGTAGTCTTCCCATAGTGCAGTTCTGACACCAGACACAATTACAACACTAACATCGAATTGCTGCAAGAGCTAGATAAAAGCAGCGAAAAAATACGAAACCGAGCTTTCAGTTTTCTCATCCACTCCATGTGCTTCAACTTCATCAAGCATGCTCACCAGCCACTCGACAAAAACAAGTACGGAAGTAGAAGGGGACACGAGGCCAAACTATTCGCCTTCAAACACCAGTATACAACACGTCCCATGAAAATGAATGTAGCAGTCAATGCAAATTGTACCAATTCTAGATAATGCTTAATTTTCCCGTCTTTCGACCCTTGCAATTCGGGGTTACTGATTAGATTATGGAAGACAGATGAAAATGGAAACTTGAAGTGCTCGTAAAGGGCCAGTTCTAGTCAAATCCATAAGCCGATAAGACTCCAACATAGCTCTCAGCTTTGTATCATCTAAAGCCATCATCGCAACGAACACTCCCATCATAGATGCAAAAGCACAAGGAAAGTCCTCCAAACTACCTCGCATTAGCCAAGAACGTGAGAACTTGGTTAAAAGTGGAGTATAAAACCAAAATAGCAAGTTGATAAGCTAATCCACATCAATAGAAAGAAACCATCGGAAAATATCTAGCTTCTGCTGATTTGTAGAAAATTCAGGTCATCGTATCTACATGTTTTTAACTTGAAAGTTACTGCTTCATATCCTTTGTGTTCATGCACTAAAGCGAATTTACATGCATGAAAAACACATACATGATATTCGATGAGACAGGCGTATTCGCATTCTATTCATTCATAGGTACAAGGATTACCTGGATTTTAAGAAGAAGAAACTTAGTGTTCGAATAAGAAGTGGCCAGAAATTCGTTCCATAATGATCATTCGCATCCTTCAACAGATTGTCCAGTGAAATCTTTTCACTCTATTCTGATTTAACTAGAGAATCACTTCTTTCAAATGGATTTAGGAAATCAAATTCCGCGTCACTTGAAAGAGAATGCAAATCAGATGACCTGTTCTGCAAACCCACAAGAAGCATTTGGGGAAATCAGAAGTCGGTACGATGTATCAAGAAGGTAAAAATTCATTTAGCATGGCATGCGCACTCAGTGTATGTCTTACCCTTTCAAATAGTAAAATGAGATTGTTCCAGGCGTCTGGGAAAGGTTCTTTTACGGCTAAACTTCTTACACAATGATATAGAGCAAGAAACTCATCACCCACATATGTTGCCAGTACTGCCAACTAAAAATGAAGATGATAGGTTAGAGACATAGAAATCGGGAACTAGAAACGTTACAAATGCAGCCTAGTTCTGTATACTTGGAATGGATAACACATTCATTGAGAGATATCAATAGAGAGAACAATAAACCACTTAAAATACCTGATTTTGGGGGTTTCCACTATCTGGCCATGCCCTTGCATCTTCCAAGTAGTAGGTGGCTGCAACTGACCAATTATGCTGGACGACGCTAGATTTTTCAACTTGTTCCATATTTGTAGCAAGATCCCCAAGACATTAAAAACTGATGACATAAGAAGTCGTGTTTCGGCGATTTTGTCGGTTCAACAGAAGCATCAATGCCGCCCTTTTTAAAGGATGAAGATTCTTTGGGAAGTACATAATAACTTTGGATTTTCTCAATTAACTTTTTGTAAATTTCAGTAGCATTTAGAAGAAATGACTTAAACCCTTCTATATATTTGTCGTCGAAACCACTTGAGCCCGTTACAGGTGTTGTAAATTCTGAATTAGCTGCGCTACTTTTCGTCTATTGCGGAACTCATCAATGTGCTTATAGAGTAGCTTCCACATATTTAATATAGACGTATACCCAATATAAAGTATCCACCAATTGGTCAAATAGTCAAGGATACTCATATTGTCTTATTTGTGAGTTTAAATCTTGATGGTTGCGTTGGAAAAGTAATATTTTTCTACGTAATAAAAAAAAAGTATAGATGTAAGGTACAAAATGCATTTACGTACATAATTTTTTTGCTTGGCAAATGAATTTTTTTTTTAACCCAGTTATGAGCCTCGTTAGAAACCTCTCTAACCTAAAATGAAAGAAAATAGTGATACATAACAAGGGAAATGACACAGTGGGAAAAATGAATAGATATTATCCCTTCTATCTTCTTAGATTTAACTGCTTTTTCCAAAATGATTTTAGTTACTTACATGTAATATAAAGATATAATATAGTGATTATAATGAAATAAACAGAAACTACAGCTGCTAAATCTAAAATTATGTCAGTAACTAAAATGAAATGAATCACAACCCAACAGGTTTAAATCGAAGAACAGAAATAAATAGATAGGCATTCAAAGTACAAATAATAAAAATAGCAGGGTCAAATCGTAGATAAACAAACATGTACATGGACCAAATAAAAATAAATGTAAGATAAGAAGCAAAAAGCAAAAGAAATGAAAAGAGCACTAAATCGAAGTAAGGACTAAATTAAAATGCTCAAAATTTACAAGGATCATGGTAAGAATAATATCAAACCTGTGAAGAAGGTGCAGATCTCTAACGAGTCGAGTCATCATTAATGAGGGATATTACCCAAAAATTCTAAAACAGGAAACATTTTAACCTTTGAAAATTTTTGGATTGAAAAATGCTCTCCAAAATCCTCTGAAGGCCTTTAAGGCTTGTTCTTCGTGTTCATGATGTTCATAAAGAACTCATAAATCAGTGAATATTTCGTTGTACTGATCGTTGTTGATCGGTGTAATTATACTTTCCTCTTTAACTCTGGACTTAAAAATTCTATTTTAAAAAAGTTATTTGGACTCAATTCTTTATCAATTAAGTTTAAATTTTGCCCTAACACTCTTTACTCAATTGTATTGGTTCATAGAACTCTTGGATCAACTCCTAATCTTTGATCCAAAAATTAAGACGTTATAAAAATTATATGAAAATTTAAAATTTTAAAATGCTACAATCACCCATAACTAGGAATGTTCAAAAAATATTCTACCTGCCAGTATGGATTAATAAATATTTTTTAGGTTAAAAATGCATAAATAATACAAAAAAAATTATACAGTATGCATAAATAAAATTTTAGGGTGTATATAATCAATAAAATATATAATTAATCAACGAATATTTAAATTTTAGGATGGATACTTATTGTGAATTTGCCACTGCTACTTATGATGCTTAGCTCGATGAGTGATTACCCATTGACAAATTAAAAGTGATAGTAAATATTAATGGTTCAAAGGAGGGTGAAGAGCCCTGTAATGTTGGGATTTAGTACAGTTTTATGTGAACCGCTACACATTGAATGTGATTTTGTACTATACATCACAATAACCCCATGACTCAAATTAACTAAATCTATCTCAACTTTTCTATTAACATTAAGTTTGAACTCCTATCATGCTTCAAAAATTATTAAAATACATCTTAATTATATTTAAAACAAATAAATTGTTATATTCAATAATTATATATTCTTTATTATACTTAATCTAATCGAAATGGGTATGATTATGTTTTAACTTGAGATCATCTTCAACAAATGAAAATAAAAATTAAATCAGAAAAATAATGTAAAAAATTATTTAAAAAAACATGATAAATATAACAATTTACGATAACATTTAAAATCATTGATCATTAAGAATAATATTAAAAAAAATTATTGGAAGTTGTTGATGATTTTGTTTCATCTTTTAATAAATTTTAGATTGAATTTTCTAATATTTTTTAGATAGGACTGTAAGAAAATACAAGTGTAAAAACTAAAACAAAAATTTTCAAAAATTATCAATCAAAATAAAACATTGAGCTTAAGCCGTATCGTAAAACTTTGAAAGATTATAATTTTAAATGTTTTTAATATATATATATATATATATATATATATATATATATATATATATAGATAAAGAGTCAAATGTACTTTATCATTACTTTTGTCTTGAAAAATATCATTTTAACTTTTAATTTTATTTTTTTATAACAAATTTTAAATTTTTGATTTCCTTTTTTTAAAGTCGCTGGACTTAAACATTTAATTATTTTATATAAAATATATCATTATTCATAAAAATTTGACACACTAATTTTATTAAAAAATATAAATTTTTTATTTTAAGCCTTATAATTTTAATTTCCTTTTAATCTGATTCATGTGTTGTAAAATAAAATTAAAATCAAAACAAACTCATACAACAGTTACCACCGACTCCAATAATGTTGATGATGAATTAAAAGTAAATAGACATTACATATCACACTAAGCTAAAAATACAATTTTATTTAAACTTCCCAAAAAAAATAGGTCCTTATAATTATAATGATCTTTCAGAAATTTACAATACAATTATAATCTAAGCATCAATATTATTAATTTCCTCAAACTTTTTCTTTAGTGATAATTTTTTCAAACTTATCTTTTCACTTACAGGGACAATTTAAAAAAATAACATTTTAATATATTTATATTTATATTTTTTATATTTTAATTTTATAATAATAATAAAATCATTAACAATTATCAACAATTTGATTAACTAACATAAAATTTCCTTTATTTCTTTTAATATTTTTTCTTCATCCCTATTTCCTATTTTTTTTAATAATAATATTATCATAATTTTGCCGGAAATATTGGAAACTCGCCGTATTCAAAGCCCGTCATTGCAATATCAAAGGATGGCACAAACGAACAATTATTAGATGACGAATAACATCATATAAGCAATCAATTCTTCTTCTTCTTCTTTTTGACAAAATATAAGCACTCAATTCAATTTAGTATCAAAAACCTAACCCTAATTCCATTTTTTCCCATTTTTTTATATACGTTTTAACTATTCAGTTAGAATATATAACTAAATAAAAAAGTCATGTCTACCTAGTGGTAGACAACATACACTCCTCTCCATGATCAGTGATAATATCTACATTTTCCTTTGTTTTGGTCGTTGTAATTAATTGATATCATTTCCATTGTTAGAAAAACAAGAATAATGTATAATTTAAGATGAAATCCATATCCATTGATAATTATTTTCAGTAAATCTTCCCACAAAGCAATACGCTGAAACAAACAGCCATTCATTACAACAACAGTAAGCTAAGGAACTTGTAAAAGCAGTAGTAAAACATGAAGAAGAAGAAGAAGAAGAACAATGGAAAACAGTGGGATCTTAAAGCTAGTTTTTCTAGTAACATTTGGGTTCAAAAGCAAATGGCCCAACGGTGTAGAGAATGAACGGCAGCTTGTTTGCAGTAAATGTCTTCTCAAACCTTAAAGCAGCTCCCTTGATTCCGCCGTGGAGATCGGTTGGTTTGCTGCACAAAGCCAATGGCGACGATAAAAGAGAAAACGTGCATTTGTGGGCGCCGAAGCTGGTGATGGTCTTTGGTGCTTGCAGGAAGAAATAACCGTTCTTGTCGGTTCTTGCAGTGGCCTCTTGCTTGTACTTGGTGTTCTTGCATGTTAACTTTACTGTGGCGTCTGCAAAAATGACAAAGCCAAAGTGCTCAGTTTAACTCTGCAATTGGTACAAAAAAGGCCATTTTTACTGTGGATAATAATAATGCATGCCAGCAAATCAATAATGAATCAGACACCTAGGAATATGAGTTCTAAAACGTTGAAAAAAGGGTAAAGTTTGCTTCCTGTAACCTATTAAACGCCAAGCTACTTTCTTTGAAGTTTAAAAAACCGAGAAACCAACTCAGAATTCGAAAAACAAACAGGGAAATACACATGCGTGCGTAAATTAAAATGACTCGCAGTGTTAAGTGGAAATCTGATTCTTGATGAATGAGACCAAGTTTGTCTTGTGTGTTGTTTAACTACAAGGAATGGTGTTTTGAAACTGACTATGAATTGGTTTTGCCCCCGTCAGGGTGTCGGATCCGTTGTATTTGCACGACTTGCAAAAAACAACGCCCTGAACTGCCACAAGGCTCCTTGAAGGCTTGGGGTAAGTGGGTGGCTTAGTCGGAGGAGTTGGTGGCTTGGTCGGTGGCTTGGGTGGAGGATAAGTTGGTGGCTTGGTTGGCGCCTTGGGTGGTGCTTTTGGAGGAGGACCATAAGTTGGAGGCTTGGTTGGTGCCTTGGGTGGAGGGTAAACTGGTGGCTTAGGTGGTGTTTTTGGCGGAGGAGCATAAGTTGGTGGCTTGGTTGGTGTCTTGGGTGGAGAGGGTAAACCGGTGACTTGGGTGGTATTTTTGGCGGAGGAGCATGAGTTGGTGGCTTGGTTGGTGTCTTGGGTGGAGGAGAGTAGACCGGTGGCTTGGGTGGTGCTTTTGGAGGAGGAGCATAGGTTGGTGGCTTGGTTGGAGCCTTGGGTGGTGGTGGATAAACAGGTGGAGCCGTCGGGGGATGAGGGTGGTGGTGGTGGGTGGGTGGGTGAGCAGGTGGCATTACAGGCGGAATGCCATGGTAAGGAGGAGGCAAAGTCTGGGGCACTATCTGAGCAGACACTGTGAAGCTACTGAGGAAGAAGAGTGAAAGCTGCAGAAGCAAAGCAGCTTTGGCTGCCTCTGCAAAACCCATTTTTTTGCTTTAAGCTACTAAGAGAGTTGAAGAAGAGAGCTTGTGAAGTTGGGGAGCTGTAAGGAGTCTATCTATAAGGGTTAAGCCCTGATTCTCTGCGGTTTTTGTTGATCAATATCTTATTTTATAATCGAGTGGGGGTGCAGTGTAAGATATGGGATTAGGATTAGGGTTCTACTCGTAATTAAGATTTATGTGCAATGACCTTTTTTAAAAAATATATATGTAATAAAAATAAAAATATTACTTACATTAATTTTGAAGTAAATTGATATAATTATATATATTATTTTTATTATTTATATATTTTATTAATTTAATTTTAATTTAATAAATTTAGTTTTCTAATCAAATAAAACGATACATGTCATTAAAATTAAATGTGTCTTACTTTTTTTTTTAAGATTTGTCTTACTCACTTAAATGCTCGGTATGTGAAGAACTTTTAAATATATCCAAAAAAAAAAATGTCAGGGTGATTTTCCCGATATATTACCGTTGAACATTATATTTTTCGATCAGGTACTGTTCAGACTATATTTTTTGATCTAACATCATTTGTAGAAAAGGCGCAGCCCCTGCAACGCGTTATACGTTGATTTGGTGCCACGTGGGATATGATACCCCCTGAAACGCGCCTTATGCTGACATGATATACATGTGTGTAAAGTGCGGACCCGGGGGCGCGCCTTAGGCCACCAAGGAGTATAGCGCAGGGCAGGTGTCGCGCCTTAGGCCACCTAAGAGTATAGCGCAAGGCAGGGGTCGCGCCTTACCTTTAACACAATTATTAGGCGCCGAACAGGGGCCGCGCCTTACCTTTATCTGATATAATTATGTAAGGTATAATTATGTAAGGTGCGGTGCAGATACCGCGTCTTGTAGCTTTTCCCGGCTATAAATACCCTTTCCCCGGGGTAACTCCTCACATCTCCCCTCGATTAGAAAAAAATTAATACAACAATCCAACAATCTTCTCATATTTAATTCATAAGTTCGTGCGAGTTTTCGTTATAAGGTAATTTTGTGATAAATTTTTTATTATACTTATTGTTTATTATGATTATTTGAAAAAATTTATACTAATTGTTGTCAACTAACTTCTGTTTTGTAAGTTAGAAAGCGAAAATATACGTCGAAATAGTTTTGTGGTACATGTAATAATATAAATTATTTATTTAAATTATTTACGTTTATGTGTAAAAAAATTATTGTGTTATATTTTCGTACATATATTCTTTATTTAATCAACAGTGTTTCAGTTGTTTTTTTTTTGCAGATATAATATTGTCGCACTTTTAAACTCAAGAATGGTGCGACTTTAGTTATTGTTTATTATGATGAAGAAATTCGAGAAGACGAAACTGACGTTGTTTTCGTATCAATGAGCGTGTTAAAATATCATTGAAGAGAAACATAACTCTTGAGGAGCTGATAACGAAGATTTCGAGGAAGATTCATATTGGAAATAGTAGAAGAATGTCGTCATTGCAGTACAGATTTTCAACATCATTGTTGCCATTAACTTATACATCGTTCGAACTTTTGAACAATGATGATGTTGAAATGATGGTTGAAGCTCAAAGTAATATTCAGACGCCAATATTGAGATGTATGCAAATTTTATTCAGTGTGCTGTTCGAGGTCAATCATTAAGCTCCCATGAGCTGGCTGAACAAGTTGATCAAGTTGACAGCCCGACGACAGTAATGTGTAATGATTTTAATGTCATAATGGGGACACATTCATCCGCAACTCCTTATGATATGTACCGAGGTGGGTCGACGAACAATCTGTATGGAAACATCGCGTCCAGT